CCCCCTCCTGCAAACGATCGAACGTCCGTGACACCCAAAGTCATCGATGCTTAAGGTCCCTATTGTTTGTTCAGACACGGTCTCGATCGCCCGTAGAAGGATCCTTGCAGAGGAAATTGAGTTGCCTTACTTGTACAGATCACTTTCTAAGTGGGGAGTTGACTGGAAATCTATTTATTTCTCTAAGAGCATAGGAAGAGAAAAAAGCATCACATTTATTCGCTTCTCGTTTTAACGTGGTAAGGGTCGAGAAGATGACGAAAGAGTTTCCAGGTCGATAAATGGGCTAGTTCTCTCGCTTCTGAATTTGTCTTAAACGATTAATGTTGGAATTAAGGTTTCTTTGACACAGTTGAAACATTTTTCTGTTTGCAGGGCCATTTTTAAATCCTCTTGGTAACGAAAGAGTCAATAGTCCGTTCTTAGATCATTTTAGGGTAAGTCATCTGCACATAATTCACTCAGAAACGATAAACATTGTATACAGTTGCTTACGTTCAAGTAGTATACGTTAATATGGATCTGTTTTGCAATCAGAACGACCTTATCATTTCCAAGGAGTTGTTTTGTGCTACAGTACAGCGCTACCAAGTATTTGAAGACGTGATGTGTCTTAGTTAAAACTGAAAGTGCATGAAAACTTAAAATTTCCTGCACGCAATCGAAACTGAAAGTAAAACCTCATCATGTATTCAGAGTGTAAGAATGAGTTACTTTCTCACAAAAAGTATTCTCTAATAGCTAATGGAATTTTTCGATGCTTTTTGCGATTTTCCTGCTCAGGTGGCATATATTTGTGTGTTTTGTTTCGAATAATTTCATGCCTACATATCGCAGGTGCAATCAACCGATTCGTGACGATGTAATTTAATAATATGCTGTCTACCCTGGCTGATCGTAGAGAAGGCATTTTTTAGAATTTTTGCTCTTCGTCTTGTTATCTTTGCTGCCAGAGGGCTTCAGTCTCTTAAAACCGCTTGTTCCTTGTTTTTTTTCCTGCAAGTATGCCTGCATCAATCCCTGATTAATATCCTTGAAAAAAACCCTCTATTTAATTTATGCATTATTTTGTGTTTGCCCATGATGGTTTGTTGCCTTTCCCTGACGAAAATCTTTGGAGGATCTTTAAGGATCTTTAAAGATCTTCATGAGGACCTTTGAGGATCCTCCCAAGGATCTTCATGAGGATCTTTGAGAAATCTTTGAGGATCTTAACAATTCTTGTTAAGATCTTCAAGGATCTTTCATTTTCTTGCCAAGATCCTCAAGGATCTTTCATTTTCTTGCCAAGATTCTCAAGGAGCTTTCATTTTCTTGCCAAGATCCTCAGGGATCTTTCATTTTCTTGCCAAGATCCTCAAGGATCTTTTATTTTCTTGCCAAGATCCTCAAGGATCTTTCATTTTCTTGCCAATATCTTCAAGGATTTTTCATTTTCTTGCCAAGATCCTCAAGGATCTTTCATTTTCTTGCCAAGATCCTCAAGGATCTTTCATTTTCTTGCCAAGGTCCTCAAGGATCTTTCATTTTCTTGCCAAGATCCTCAAGGATCTTGCATTTTCTTGCCAAGATCCTCAAGATCTTTTATTTTCTTGCCAAGATCCTCAAGGATCTTTCATTTTCTTGCCAAGATCCTCAAGGATCTTTCATTTTCTTGCCAAGATCCTCAAGGATCTNAGGTTCTTGTCCAGATCTTCAAGGATCTTCAAAAGATCTTGTCAAGAATTTCAAAGATCCTTAAAAGGTCTTGATAAGAAAATGCAAGATCCTTGAAGATCTTGGCAAGAAAATAAGGGATCCTTGAAGATCTTGATAAGAAAATAGAAGATCCTTCACAATCTTGGTAGATCTTGTTAAGAATTTGAAATATCTTCAATGTTCTTGCTCAGACCTTTGAGGATTGTTGTCAAAATTCTTGTTACGATCTAATAATCCTGCCAAGATCTTTGAGAATCTTTATAAGTCTTGCCAATATCTTTTGTGGTCTTCAACATTCCTCTCAATATCTTCACAAGTCTTCCAAGATCTTTGACAAACTTCCAGAGAACTTGCAAAGGAAACTCACCAATTTTGCTGCAAATATGTGAGGATCTTCAATAAACATTATTTATAACAACGATAAGCCTCAAACCATTTATAAACTGTGGAAATAATATATATATTTTTATTGTGACTACAAAGAGTTATTTATATCAACCAATAGTATTAAACAAAAGGCAAACAAAATAAAAGAAAAACTATGCAAGGAAAGTTAACAATTCAACAGTTTTTGTAGCTTTATAACACAATGAGGTCTAATAACAAAACTCTTTTAGTGATTTTCTCCTAATAAAATAAACAAATGTTTATGTGGATAACAATGGATGCAAAAGTTATCCAGTAGGGTTCTAACTAAGGAATAATAGTGTAATTAACACAGGGTTAATTAAACAAATGTAGCCTCTAATAGGACAGTGGGAAATTTAGATAAAAAAAAAATTAAAACTTGCTGTGAGTTGTTAAAATTGATCTTAGTCTTAGATCTTAGTCAAGATTCATGTACACTATATTGCAAGATCATGTTTCTAACTACAATAACTTATAACACATTGTGTTGCCAACTGCCCGTTAGCCAGCGGATTCTATCAAAATAGAACTTAGTCCCCCACAGTCGAGAGACAAAAACATGTGCTTGTCGGACCCGCCATCTTGTTGTGTTATTGCATAGTTTTTCGGATCGCGAATTAAAACCTTTGCTGTTCTCGCTCGTTGTCCAAGTTTAACTTTGTTCGGATAACCTTCGCCACACATTGCACAGGATATCCTGCCAGATACAGATCGATACTCAGCCAGCAAAAATCAATTATCAATAAATCCATTCCTAAGATCTTACAAATCAAGCTGAAAATTAATCATGACAAGAAATTCACTAGAAATCTAGAGGTAGTTTCCTTATAGCACTCTTGTTTATTTCTTATCCTGATAGTCTTTCTGTCCACGAATTAGAGTGTTTTGGTAATTTAAAGTTAAGTATACACTTATCACAAGATATGTCTTTTATATATACAAAGGTCTAAGGTAATTACTATCTGCTCTGCTCCCTGAAGACCAACCTTTCCATCGTATGTGATCTGACTTGCATTTAACTTTTCATCAGAGTAAAGGTTTTCTTATTACTAGAAATTGGGGGATACCACAGTTCGAAAACAATGGTTAGGAATAAGTTGCTTCACTGTATACAGCTTTAATCGCATCATATTCCAAAATGATGAGTATAACCCTAAAAAAACGACAAGAAAAGGAATGAGAAGACATACAAAATGTGAGCTTAAGTTCCATAAATTTACCGTTAAAAGTTTTATAAGGGTGGTGCTCTCTTAAAAGGAATCTTTGAGCTCATAATAAGAATATCTCAATGAAAGTGCATTGTTTCTAAATCCTTAGTCCATTTTTCATTCGAAGTATAGATCTGACATCCAATAACTTACAAATTTCTTGCAGGCCTCTTGATCTCGATCCACACATCTTTCGCCATCCTTATAATGATCTCTATCGACAAATCCATTAATGTTTCTTTGAAATATGTCTTGCCAATGAAATGAACAATAAAATGTTTGTTTTCACTCAAAAAAGTGCTCATGAACTGCCTAAAAACAGCAAACAAGGTCCATTGCAAAATGATTCATCAGTCAAATTCAAAATGGCGCCTTGTAACAGCAAATGTCACATGACTGAAAACACTGCTGACCACTGATTTGATGCAGATCTTTATGTATACAGACACCAAATTAGCAGCTAGTTGTGCCTTTATTTTTATCTTCACCAATACTCAGTAATTTTGTTAGTGCCAAATCACAGAGGAAACTAAAAATGAAGATAAAAACCAAAGTTTTGCAAGGAAAGCTTGATTTTATCTTTAATTTTATCTTTAATAGATCCTTAGTTGGGTTTCATATGGGGTTATAGGCCTCTCCTACCCTGTCACCTTGAAAATTAAGTTTCTTCGATTGCTGTACGTGTTGCCAGCATGGTTGTCGTGATAGTGTAGTGGTCATCACACCTGACTAGTAACAGGGGGACGTGGGTTCAAATCCCACTCAGGGCAAATTTTCTTTTCAAACATTTATTCTATTTTTATATATATATATACATTCATATATATTTATAACAGAGACAATCCTCATGAAATTCATAAGATATCCTGTAAGATTTGGATTTGAAGTGTAATTAATTGTTGGGTGTTACATAATTCTATGCTCATAGTTTATACAACTCATTGTTTGGTGAAACCTTTTAACTCCCATATATGTGATTGACATTTAACTTCAAATGAAATCCATTCATTTTCCAGCAAACGGGCAATGAGAATTGACTCAAACTCGTCAGACAGAAGTTGCCATCTTGATCCAACACCAAATTCTTAAAACCAATTCATATGGAAATGTGTAGCAGCTAGAGGGGAAAATAATAACAATTGAATTTTGGGTTGACTTACGGGCTCAAGTATAATGCAGATCAAAAGATTAGGTTGACTTTGAATAGGAAGTTCTCACACATGCCTGTATGCATCACACTGAAAAATAATGATCAGATTTTGTGTGGGTACCCTCTCTTTATCTTGAAGGTAATTTGGTTGAATCCTTGGTCTGCAACCCAAAATCCAGGTTGGTTATCATTTGTACAATATGATGACTCTTGGGCAAAATTTTTTTTGATCTTGTATACCTTTCAAACCTCATTGTCTGCATAATCACTGTTTTCAGAACTTTAAATTTGGGACGAACTTGCAAGTAATTTCAAAAAACTGTCCCTAAAACTTTGTATAATAAATGGTAAACAACAATGAAATTCCAACATTTTTGCAACTACTTCCTTCTATGAGAGGTGAAGTTGTCGAGATGGGTGAGTGAGTGAGTGAGGGTAACAACAGAATTCTGATCTTGGCCCAATTTAGTTGACCTGATACTTCCCGGTGCTACTTGTTGTTTTTTTCAGAGTATCTTGCTTAGTAGCTAGTTCAACATTCGCACTCAATGAACATTTTAGTTTTCTCCTTTTGTGCTTTCTCACTTATGGCCACAGCTAACACATTATGTTTTCAGTACTACATGTCAGTACTACAAAAGAGGACAAACATCAATAAGTTATTTCACAATGGCATTAACTCAGACAACTAATAAAAATCAAAAATTTTCCTGCAGATTATCTTGATAGATGAAATCTGCACATCTCGGCAACCTTTAGGAATTTTTTTTTCTTTAAAAAGAGAGCATTTTACCGTTTAAATCAGAGACTAAACCGAAAAGACTGGCTAAATGTGTGAAGTGAGCAAGCTGCAAAATACAATACCCTGAGTTATTCAACAGAATGATGGAATGCATAATCAAGGAAAAATGGATTGGCAGAATTGCAGAATATCCTAAAACACAGAACACATTTTAAATATTTGTAAAAAAAATTACGTGACTGGTATGAACCACGTTTTGTCTCAGCCAATTGCAAGTGACTCATCAGATGCTTTTCAAAATCTCCAGCAAACTTGGTTAGCATTGGGCTCAAAGACCTATACGCGAAATGAGCATGTTAAAGCAGTCTGGCTCACTACCGAAGAGGGAATTTCCCAACCACATGCGCAGGAGTTACAATATAAAAAATGAAACATTGTCAGATAAATCATTGTTGGGGCCCAGAGGATTAGGGAAACATGAGTCTTTGAACCAAGCCCTCTTTAAATATCATTATATCAATGTCGTTGTCATTATTATCATTATTGTTAATAGTAATACTGGGTATTATTTGCTACCATTTAATTGATTATTGCTTGAATGTCAGTTAGACAATATATTCTTGAATCATCTTTCTTTTGTGAAACGGGGTATACTCCTAAATATGTTGGATGCAGCAGATTTTTTGTTCTCAGTGTGAAACAAATATGCTGCAACTCAGACTGCCTGATCCTAGGGCTTTTAAAAGAACTGCTAGTTCTTTTCAATTCTGTAGAAATTGTGCTTTACTAGCTAATAGCCACTTGCATTATTTGACTGTCTGTCTCTTTCAGAATCTTCAGAACATAGCAACTGATTTCCATTGAATTCTCAGCAATTATGGTAGAGATGTAAATAAAAAGCTCTTTGGAATTTGATGAAATTGTAGGAAAAAATGTTTGGGGGAAAAGAACAAGGACAGAATTCAACCCTTCCCTATTTGCTATGTGTTTCTGACTTATGTTTAAGGACTGCTACTAGTCTTATCTTATTTGTCTTATCAATGTTGTTATCATCATTATTATCATTATCACTTAAACGATTATTATCAATAAATGGATAGGGGGTGCTAGGGGTGGTTGGTGGGGGTTTTAGGAGGGCTACAGTCACTTCTCTTCCCTCAAGAATTGGAAGGTCCATCCCTGAAATGAAGTAACAGTCCTCTCTGACATGACCATGGTTGGCAAATTTTGTTATTTGTGCTTTTAGACCTAGCTTTTCTATCTCTATGGTATAAGGATTTAACAAGTTATGAGACATACAAAGATTTTTCTTTTGTCCAAAAGTAAATGGAAGATGTTGGTGGGGGAAGGGGTGTCGGTCATGAGTGAAGTAGGTGTATATTGTAATTTTTTGTTTTATTTCCAGTGATATGCAACTATACCAACTCACTGAATGGACTTAACGATCGATATTACGTTTTTGCAGACTGAGTGAAATAAACCTGTTTACTTATCCTGATCTAATTAATCAACAGAGTTGTGACAGAATGTGCCCAATTCTTTTTTATTTATAAAATTTGCAACAAAACCAGAAAGCACTTGAGCTGAAGTTAATTGTAATTATTGTATTGCTCATACAATCGCCTCGGGCAAAGTGAAACTGTTTATTTCCCTAGTCTGTTGAGAAACAGTGCTAGAGGTGTGTTTGTTCATTTTTCAGGATATCTATGGAATACACAAGGGACATCTTTATTGACTGAAGATGGTGTTCAGATTTTATGGAGTGTATACAAAAATATTGGTACAGAGGATAAAAATCTCAAACCTTTGACTGAAAAAGGTTTGGTATGTTTACTACATGTATTTAACAGCATTTAGATTTTCTACAGGATAGAACTATACAATACACATGTTCAGCAGAGACCAAGGGGAGTTCAATTATGGAAAGCCTTTTTATGTAAGATAGTCGGCATCAGCCTTTTGAGGTCATCCATCATCCACAGGCACTATCTCCCTGAATGGTGGAGACCCAGCAACACAAGGAGTTAGGGAATGGCCATAATCCTAGTCCCCTTCAAATTACTTTAAATTGGCAGCAGCCTATGCTGATTAACGCTCCTAGGTTAAAAGTCCCATTCTGGTAGATATGTTACCTCAGTGTAGGTCCCAACTTGGTATTGATGTCACCATAGTGTAGGTCCTAAGCTGGAACTCATGTCACCACAGTTTGGGTCTTATACTGGTGCTCATATCACCACAATGTAGGTTCCAGGCAGGTTGTCATGTTATCACAGGGCAATTTCCATGCTGGAACTCATGTCATCACAGTGTAGGCTCCATGCTGGTAGTCTCGTCACCATAGTGTAGGTCCATGCTGGTAGTCATGGGACCACAGTGGAGATCCCACTTTGGTGTCTTTGTCACACAGTGTAGGTACCATGTAGGTTTTCTGTCACCACAGTGTAGAACCTATGCTGAAGACCATGTCACCACAGTGTAGGTCCTATGCTGGAGTCCATGTCACCACAGGGTAGGTCTTATGCTGGAGTCCGCCATGTCATCACAGGGTAGGTCCTATGCTAGTAGCCATATCACTAATTTGGTCCTTTCAGGTGTGGTGTTTGGATAATATTCTGCAGCTGTGCCGGTAGTGATTGCGAAGTTGTTGTGGTTATACAGGAGTCACTAATGGAGGCTGCACCTGTGCACTGTTATTAATTTAGAAAAAATAAATTTGGATCATTGAGGTTTCAAGGAAGATGTTGTTTTGGGGTTAGGTGGTGTTTCTGAGCCAAATACAAACATTGTAATGTACGTACCTACCAACTTTCCTACCTGCCTTTCTGCCTGTTTTCCCACCTTCATGCCCACCTGCCCACACTCTCATCCACATCAAATCCAGTTACCTGCCCACACTCTCATCCACATCAAATCCAGTTGTAGAATAAAGTCCAAATTCTAAAACTCCTGTTTCCATTTCAACTTTACAGTGTGGATTTTGTAAACTGGAATAGAACTGTTTATTGGTATGATGACACCAAACGTCTGTCAAGAAATTCCTAAAGTAGTTCTTTTGATGGTGCCTGTAGAGACCTCAAAAGATAAAAGAATCATGAAGATTACAAAACCTTTTAGAACATAGCCAGAGAGCCGCACGATCAAATTCAATATACGTAAGCATGCTCAAAATCCCGATAGTGCACGCTGATAGCGTCAGCAAGTCGCTTCGCAAGAATTTTTTTTCCGCCCGAGCGGTCATTGCTAGCGCGGGGAAAAATAATATATTTCGCGACAATAATGGATACAAACAGAAACTCGGCCCACTAGTCCCACGAAGAAGACAATTTTCTGACCTTTTCCCATGGGCTAGAGTTCTTTAATGAGGCAAAAAAGGGAAAAACAACGGGAAAGGAGACTCGGCATCAGCGCCGTCACCATTCGCTTCACTTGATACTGTTGTCCGTTTTTCGCGTCGGAAATTGATGCACAATTCCACCGGCTATGTTCTAAAACAATTGGTTCATGCTTTCAGCTATGCACTATCGAGTTATGGAGCACGTGGGAAGTTTGGAGAGCACTCAAGAAGCTAGAGTTGCCCTCGGCTATTGCCTCGGGCAACTCTTACGCTTCTTTCGTGCTCTCCAAACTTCCCGTGTGCTCCATAACTCGATAGTGCACGCTAAAGCATGAACCAATTGTTAATTCGGTCCTTCAAAGTTACTTTTTAAAAGTCATTTTTTACTGATTTTGCGTAATATTAATTTGTATTCTCGGTAGACTTTCTTGTTGACGTTATTGTCATGGCAACCCCCTCGCTGTTATTTACGTCTTCAAAAGAGACAACCAACTATGCTAGGCTGTGCCGCCTCTTGGTGGATGTTGGATCTCAGGTGCTCAGGTCCGCTTTTGACAAAATACATCCACCAGCCACTCTACCTATAGTTTTGGGAAAAACCTCTGTGCACCACGCCACATTGCAATCGTTGTACACGGGGAAGAAGAAAGTGTTGAATCCAACTCAGTGGAAGAAGTTGTATCCTCTTCGTTCACCTGTGTCTTCGACAACCTTTGACATCACACTCTTAACAGTGCTGCTTAGAAATATCTGTGGTTTGAGCCCTCCTGCTACCGGATGGGATCATCTTCCTCCAGATACCAACAAAAGCATTACGGATGACATCGCCAGAATAAAGTATTACAGGAACACGGTGTACGGCCATGCTTCTCAAGCCTCTGTAGATGATACTGGCTTCAGTTCTTATTGGAAGGAAATACGAGAAGCTCTGGTGAGACTTGGGGGAGCTCGTTTTCGAGCAGATATCGACAATCTTGAGCATGACTGCATGGATCCAGATATCGAACAACATTATCGCGAATTGATGATACAATGGAAGAAAGACGACGACAGCATCAAGGACAAACTTGAAGAGATGGAAGGTAGGATGAACAATTTTGCATCACTTGTAGAAGTAGCAGGCCTGAAATTGCATGAGTTCGGTCTAACTTGCACAAAAACAGCAGCTTTTTAACAATTAATAGAGAAACTGATTGCTTTATGCTCAGTACTTCAGTATTTATTATGTTGGCTGTCCTAGCAATCTATTGTGGAGTTCATAATCTGTTTGATCCTTGGCTTGGAAACTTGTGCTTAACCCAGTTCCTATGAGAATCTCTTTGTAGACTATGCCCAGCCAAGTTACGATACCCAAATAGCAAAGATCGGCAGATCACAAACCCTGTTTGTTTCATATAAAGTGGCACACGAGGCCCAGCCTGGTGTGTCGCTGATGTGAATATCATTCATGCGTCTGTACTCCAATAGCCGTTGAAAAATAAGAACCATTGTAATATATGTATAATTCAACCATATGATTCAACTTATCATATAACTTCGAGTGATGCGCAAATTCCGAAAATTGTTGGATCATCTCGACATAAACTTAGAGATTAGGATTCACGAAGCGTCAAATAGGGAAAATATGAAGTAAGAGACTCGTGGGCTGCCCACGGAAGCGATCATCAAGTCGTTGTAAGTCAAGTAATTCTTTTAATAGAGATTCTTTTTTTACCAAGATCTGTCGTTCTTTGACAATGATACATTTTGAACGAAATTTATTAAATGAAATGGTAATAAGCAGGATGCAAAATTGCTGCGAAATTATACTAACTGTGAACAGCATTACTTATGATGTACCGTTTTGATCTGTTTTTACGCGAATTAACCTTTATTTTGCCTATCTGCATTTACTTTTGACTTTGTAGAAGTTATCAAACAGTCACTAGAGCAAATGAGAGGGGAAATGGAAACCAAACTTACAAGGATGGAGATTGAATTGAAGGAGTTGAAGGAAAAGCTGGGTAAGCAGACAGTCTCAGCTAGTGAATGCAAAAATGGAGGTAAGTTCTCGAAGTACAATTTTTTTAGGAAGCAATTCACAAGTTGTGATCTAATTCAGGCCGGAAAAATGCTGTGTTGTGATGGCGTTTTTCATTGTCGTAAAATGTTTTTTAACTATACTGACTTTTCCCCAGAAATTGATCCACGCCGGGCTGGCGCGCGCTGTGAAGCGGAACTTTGCCGCCCGCTGTTGTTTGAAATTGAACAGCGGAGATACGAATAAAAGTATAAAACAGTTTTCAAAATGGCGGTCGAAAATGCTATTTTGAACGCCACTGAGGCTCTGCGTCCACTACGTAATGAA